AAGTAAGTAAAGTAAGTAAAGTAAGTAAAGTAAGTAAAGTAAGTAAAGTAAGTAAAGTAAGTAAAGTAAGTAAAGTAAGTAAAGTAAGTAAAGTAAGTAAAGTAAGTAAAGTAAGTAAAGTAAGTAAAGTAAGTAAAGTAAGTAAAGTAAGTAAAGTAAGTAAAGTAAGTAAAGTAAGTAAAGTAAGTAAAGTAAGTAAAGTAAGTAAAGTAAGTAAAGTAAGTAAAGTAAGTAAAGTAAGTAAAGTAAGTAAAGTAAGTAAAGTAAGTAAAGTAAGTAAAGTAAGTAAAGTAAGTAAAGTAAGTAAAAAGTAAGTAAAGTAAGTAAAGTAAGTAAAGTAAGTAAAGTAAGTAAAGTAAAAAGTAAGTAAAGTAAGTAAAGTAAGTAAAGTAAGTAAAGTAAGTAAAGTAAGTAAAGTAAGTAAAGTAAGTAAAGTAAGTAAAGTAAGTAAAGTAAGTAAAGTAAGTAAAGTAAGTAAAGTAAGTAAAGTAAGTAAAGTAAGTAAAGTAAGTAAAGTAAGTAAAGTAAAAAGTAAGTAAAGTAAGTAAAGTAAGTAAAGTAAGTAAAGTAAGTAAAGTAAGTAAAGTAAGTAAAGTAAGTAAAGTAAGTAAAGTAAGTAAAGTAAGTAAAGTAAGTAAAGTAAGTAAAGTAAGTAAAGTAAGTAAAGTAAGTAAAGTAAGTAAAGTAAGTAAAGTAAGTAAAGTAAGTAAAGTAAGTAAAGTAAGTAAAGTAAGTAAAGTAAGTAAAGTAAGTAAAGTAAGTAAAGTAAGTAAAGTAAGTAAAGTAAGTAAAGTAAGTAAAGTAAGTAAAGTAAGTAAAGTAAGTAAAGTAAGTAAAAAGTAAAGTAAAGTAAGTAAAGTAAGTAAAGTAAGTAAAGTAAGTAAAGTAAGTAAAGTAAGTAAAGTAAGTAAAGTAAGTAAAGTAAGTAAAGTAAGTAAAGTAAGTAAAGTAAGTAAAGTAAGTAAAGTAAGTAAAGTAAGTAAAGTAAGTAAAGTAAGTAAAGTAAGTAAAGTAAGTAAAGTAAGTAAAGTAAGTAAAGTAAGTAAAGTAAGTAAAGTAAGTAAAGTAAGTAAAGTAAGTAAAGTAAGTAAAGTAAGTAAAGTAAGTAAAGTAAGTAAAGTAAGTAAAGTAAGTAAAGTAAGTAAAGTAAGTAAAGTAAGTAAAGTAAGTAAAGTAAGTAAAGTAAGTAAAGTAAGTAAAGTAAGTAAAGTAAGTAAAGTAAGTAAAGTAAGTAAAGTAAGTAAAGTAAGTAAAGTAAGTAAAGTAAGTAAAGTAAGTAAAGTAAGTAAAGTAAGTAAAGTAAGTAAAGTAAGTAAAGTAAGTAAAGTAAGTAAAGTAAGTAAAGTAAGTAAAGTAAGTAAAGTAAGTAAAGTAAGTAAAGTAAGTAAAGTAAGTAAAGTAAGTAAAGTAAGTAAAGTAAGTAAAGTAAGTAAAGTAAGTAAAGTAAGTAAAGTAAGTAAAGTAAGTAAAGTAAGTAAAGTAAGTAAAGTAAGTAAAGTAAGTAAAAAGTAAGTAAAAAGTAAGTAAAGTAAGTAAAGTAAGTAAAGTAAGTAAAGTAAGTAAAGTAAGTAAAGTAAGTAAAGTAAGTAAAGTAAGTAAAGTAAGTAAAGTAAGTAAAGTAAGTAAAGTAAGTAAAGTAAGTAAAGTAAGTAAAGTAAGTAAAGTAAGTAAAGTAAAAGTAAAAGTAAGTAAAGTAAGTAAAGTAAGTAAAAATAAAGTAAAGTAAGTAAAGTAAGTAAAGTAAGTAAAGTAAGTAAAGTAAGTAAAGTAAGTAAAGTAAGTAAAGTAAGTAAAGTAAGTAAAGTAAGTAAAGTAAGTAAAGTAAGTAAAGTAAGTAAAGTAAGTAAAGTAAGTAAGTAAAGTAAGTAAAGTAAGTAAAGTAAGTAAAGTAAGTAAAGTAAGTAAAGTAAGTAAAGTAAGTAAAGTAAGTAAAGTAAGTAAAGTAAGTAAAGTAAGTAAAGTAAGTAAAGTAAGTAAAGTAAGTAAAGTAAGTAAAGTAAGTAAAGTAAGTAAAGTAAGTAAAGTAAGTAAAGTAAGTAAAGTAAGTAAAGTAAGTAAAGTAAGTAAAGTAAGTAAAGTAAGTAAAGTAAGTAAAGTAAGTAAAGTAAGTAAAGTAAGTAAAGTAAGTAAAGTAAAGTAAAAGTAAGTAAAGTAAGTAAAGTAAGTAAAGTAAGTAAAGTAAAGTAAAGTAAAGTAAAGTAAGTAAAGTAAGTAAAGTAAGTAAAGTAAAGTAAAGTAAAGTAAGTAAAGTAAGTAAAGTAAGTAAAGTAAGTAAAGTAAGTAAAGTAAGTAAAGTAAGTAAAGTAAGTAAAGTAAGTAAAGTAAGTAAAGTAAGTAAAGTAAGTAAAGTAAGTAAAGTGAGTAAAGTAAGTGAAGAATGTTGATATTTTCGAGAAGTACCCGTATCTTCGGGTCACGGGCTTCGACGCTCTTTATTTGGTTCGTCGCTCATTGAGCTTTTTATTATGGTGACACTATTAAGAAACATTGATGCACTTCTATTGTATCATATCATTAATTTTTTGAGTTTATTACTAATTCTGTTATAAGCGTCGTTGCTTTTATTTTGTAATACACCAGTTCTGAGAGATTTATTATGAAGAGATTACCTAGGTGAATTAATCTCAGACTGCCTAGAGCCGGAATGGAACAGAACAGGAGTTCCTCCGTTTCCTCTTCTCCTTCGTCTCTGCAGTTTCTGCAGAAGCATCATTCCGCACTCGGTACGGTAGAGTCTTAATTTCGACGTTTTCGTTTTTTTTTTGCGCCTATAATGGTCTATCGGCCCCGGGCCGGACTAAGGTATAAGTCGAACCGTGCCGAGAGTCAGTCTGGCTGAGGGCCCGGGTTAACAACTAGCTCAGTCTCAAACTCTGGGTTCAGGGAGATGGCGACCCCCTGTTCTAACTATCGCCTTAACCGGGCATCGCGGATCTCTGCCCGGGTGGACCTTCCCTTTCTCCGCAACTCGTGGGATTCAAATATTGGACACCAACAAAAAAACAATAAATACCACAAAATAACAACACCACGCTGGAGACAGGATCTGCGAGCGTTGGCTCCGCCTGTGCTGGCACCTGCTCGGGGCTATCTCGAAAGGGTCCCATCCCAAATTGGGGGTCAAAGGTGGAACACAGTCGGCCGCCAGCACCTCTGCAAAGTGCGCGTCGGCGCCAAAAACTGCAGAAGGTGCGGCTAAGACTGTCGCTCCACCCACCGAGCAAAGCAAATTTACATATACGGAGACGCGGACTGCCGCGCAGACACTCCGCTTACAGAACAGGAGCAAGATCGCCAACCCCTCATTCGAATGGTTAAAGAAGGTGGAGTGGGCGAGAAATATGTTTCCAAATTATGGCCAAGAGAGGCCTAGTGCAAAGAACGCACAGCCGAAGAGGCAGCGATCTCTTGAATTGCCTGGACCAAACCTGTCTTTTGCGGACATCACGCGGGACAAGATTTTGATTGGGCTGGACAAATATAAAGAACTTGCGAGCCCAGCATGTAAGGCATTGTCGCGTCTCTCGCCAGACATGGCCAATTATTGATGCGAAGAGAAATTCTCAACTTCTAAAGCTAAACCTTACCGAGCGCGAAATGCTAATACGAGTGCTTACAGGCCATTGGTTGGTCGGCACACATGCAAGCAGACTGGGCGCGCCCCAAAACGATTTCTGCAGAAGCTGCAGGGATGAGGAGGAGGAGGAAAAGGTGGAACACCTGTTGTGTTCCTGATCCAGACTGTATCACTTAGGGAATCCCTTCATGAGCAGTCTATCTGAACTGGCGAATATAAGCCTAAGGCGAATAATAAATAATAAATAATAAATTCATGAAAGCAACCGCATGGGAGCTATGCTAGGTCAGCTGCAGTAAGGGCAGCAGACAATAATATAGAAAAGGGGACACAGATCCACGCGGTATCACAATGGACCTTCGAGGTCTAAGTGTGTCCATAAAATTGACAGCTGCTCTAGCCTAACCGAACCTAATGGGCCATCGGCATAACAGTGTTCTCCTTATCCGGAAGATAGATGGTAGTACCATGTCTTGCTAGCTCGTCAGCTATACAGTTGCTTGCGATGTTCCGGTGACCGGGGACCCATTCAGGTTGATGCTTAACTGCGTAGCCATCTCGCTCAGAAATCTGCGACAGTTTAATATTGTCTGGGAGCTTGTGTTGGTCGCATAGATCGTATAACCGCTTGGCTATCCCTATAGATGTTGATCCATATTTTTTGACAGTTGGCATTGTATACTTGCATAAGTGCTTATCGATATAATTCCGAATGGAAGACGCTGCAGTGATCAGGAAGTCTGTAAGATTTCCTGATTTTAAGTTGATTATACCTCCGCCGATGTGGTTCTCTAGTTCATAGCCATCAGAGTAGATGCTGACAGATTGTGTAGGCCCCAGTGCTCCCAGTCTTCTCGACTTGTGTACAGGCTTTATAAGGAGGTGTGATCTTATTTCCTTTGCACAGTGTCTCTCAAACGAACCGCCGCCGGCTAAGCCCGGCTAAGTCCATAATTTGGAGTACTGGGAAGGGCACCGCTTATGCAAAGGGATTCCATCCGTTGAACCTTGTTAAGGTTTGCTGTGATTGTTTGCTTGTTTATCGCAGTCCATTACATTGATATTCCGTAGAGCGGAATGGGCTTGACTATGGCTATGTATTGCAGTTGATGATTTCCTCTCGATGGCTTTTTTACAGATGTAAAGAACAATTGTTGTTTTTCTTGTTCTCGCTTGGTTTTTTCAGTCTTCACTTTAGACGCCTGTCTAGTACTAACCCCAAGTAACTAACGTTGTCACTGAAGCAACCTGCAGGTATATTTCTACAGTGTTCACTCTGAAGCCTTTGATTTTGATACTTCTTGCAGCAATGAGAGAACATAAAATTTAATCGGGTAAGCCTTGTCAGGAATGCTGACTAAACTCAACCGCGAAATCCCTTCACATTTACCTTTAAAAAAATATGTAATATGTAATATTATACCTTATTATAGTGGGATCTGCTACAATTAGGCGAGCAAAGTCCATAACTTCTTTATCGTATGTTGCTGAGAAAAACAACATTTGGCACTTAGGATTCAGCATTCTGAAATTAAAAAAAAGCAAATATTAGGAATCATATATTTAGTCTATTATTTTAAAATTACGATTTGATTAACCTTAAAATTATATGCCTTTAAGAGTCAAAATATTTTAGGGAATTGTGTCAAAGGCTCTTATAGTATATCGGATAAGCCGCTGAGCCAAATTACCAGTCATAACACATGGTGTTTTCTACCAGTTTCGATTTTTTAAATAAGAACTTACAATATTAAATTCGGAAAATTTTTGGTCGTCAGTACAATTGTTCGGTATAAAAACGGAAACACACCTTTCGTAAACCTAATTCTTTCGTCAAAATGGGATGAACCAAAACTTATATAGCATTTAACAAAGATTTCGTCCAATATTTTAAGAGTTAATGTCTCTGTACAATTTTTTTTAATTACCACTGATTTTGGTTTACAAAAAAAATTGCTAAGTCGTATAAATTACTCTTGAAAATTGTTATAGGTAATACACTTGTCAATTAAATGTTGTGCAGATCAGGGGCAAAGCACGACACGAACAGTATAAAACCTTACACACACATTGATAAGTACCCTGTGCAAATAACCCTCACAAAATAAGAGCAAGCAATTAATTATAAGTGTGCTCCCCGCTGCTCTTGATACACTGTAACGACCCTGTTTCGGGAGGAGGTATAGCTCGCCGTGGCCAAGGTTTGGGATAGAAATGTATTTCCTCTTTAAATCAATTTACTTCCCTTTCCCCAAAGAATAAACCAATTGAACACTACAGAGTATGGATATATTTAATAAAACGGTTGGTTAGGGCTACGTCTCTAAATTTAATTACCTCGGCGCTATGGGAGGGCCGAATGTGGTACTGCTTGCTGAGTGATACCGACGCTGCTGAATGACCGAGGGTAGCACTGCTTGCTATATTGATGTTGACGGTGCTAAGGGGCCGAGTATAGGACTGCTTTCTGAGTGATACCGACGCTGCGGGAGGGCCGAGAAAATCACTGCTTTCTTAGTGGTATCGGGGCTGCTGGGTCGTTGGGAGGAACGATCTACTTGGTTCTTTTAGTGAGATGTGGTGTAATGTGCATGCATACAGATTACACACTGTACCATCGACAACAATGTTAGCCAAATCTGCAGGATCAGCAATCTTCCAGTGCAAACGTAATTTGTCCACTCACACCATCGGCGAGTGATAAGTCGCGCCAGCTTATTCCCACAGTTGGCGACGGCAACAATTATATCCATTTATGCACATATTTCTTCTCTGTCTCTCTCTGTGCGCGCCGCTCTCGGAGATAAATATCTGCAGCAGTTCAACACCTCCAACGTGGGCTACACCCAAAAATTACAAACCGAGCTTGATTTTCTAAAATCGAGTCTCGAAAAAAAGAAGCCGAGAATCGCCACTCACTCACAACAAAGAAAATATTTATTTTAAATGAAAAAATATTAACGAAACCTCCATCCCCCTTAGGCAGCGTTCATTGTCAGTACACCTGCGACAGACCGGCGACGCCCAGAAGATGCGAAAGGGTCTCATAATTCCAGCAATTTTTAATAGTGTTAGTAAATAATATGCATTTGTTAAGTTGAGCGAAACTCTCTCTGCCCAATTAGATTTATAGCCCGTAAAGCTATACAAAAAAAGGTAGAAAAATTGTAAAATTAAAATTTAAAAAAAGTCTTAAATTCTAAAAACGAAAAATAAACTTAAAAATTTAATATAAAAATGAAAACAAATAAGTAATGAGAATAAATAGTATAAGTTAAATTGATATACCAAATCATGAAACACCAGTTATAATTGACAAAAAAAACAAAACAGTGGAATTTTGATAATTAATAAAGCAGATTCCAATAATGTTGACATGTATCTTACAAATATATTGTTAATGATAATTGTTGCTATTTTGTGCGGAAATTTGATTTGCAAATTATATTTACTTCACAATAAATGCCTGCTAAAAAGAATCCAAAGCAAAGATAATGATAATTAATAAAGTAGAGACCAATAATGTTGACGTGTATCTTACAAATATATTGTTAATGATAATTGTTGCTTTTTTGTGCGGAAATTTGATCTGCAAATTATATTTGCTTCACAATAAATGCCTGCTAAAAAGAATCCAAAGCAAAGATAATGATTTAGACAAAATCTAAAAAAAAAAAAATATATATATCATAAAAAACAACAATTATTATATTATCAATAAAGAAAAAGTATTTATATGTGGGATTTTTATTTATTAAGTAGGTTATTATTTAAAAGTTGGATTATTAATATTAATTAACATAGTAATTTGATTTAACCGTCGTCTTGTCGTCACACGTCGTTCGCTTGAGCACGTCTTTACTCAACTCGATCCCGTCAGCAACTAACGCTCGTCCTCTCGATATGTTGCTCTGCTCGACTCCTCGTTGTCACATCGCGTTGTAGTGATCGTCGTCTTCTTTTCCATCGGCTCGTCTTCCTTTGGAATGCGTTTTTTGACCATCTACTCGTCTTCTTATTTTAAGCTGCTTCTTTCGTAGTCCTGGGCATCATGTCATACGAATGCTGGGGTTTTATGGGAGGGATTCGGGGAATAATGCAATCTCACTCCCACATTCGGCCATTCTTTGTCTTCGAGGGTGGGCCACGGCTTAAGGTCTCTGCACAGGTTGAAGAAATTTTTGGTCCATCTGAGTTTCCGACTTTGGTTATTTCGTAAGGACCCAAATACTTTGGCTTTAGTTTGAGACCACCGCCAAACTGCGTTCGTTTTATGGCTACTAGTTCACTAATCTTATAAGTCTTTGCCGGTTTACGTCGTAAGTTGTAGGTCTTCTTGTTTTCAGTTTGGATTTTCAAAATGTGACTTTTTGCCTTGAGTCGAAGGTCGTTGTGCGTGTTCTGAAACAAGGCTTTGGACTCGTTCTCATTTTGACTCCGATTAGAACCTCAAGAGGAGTGGCGACGATGCTTCTCGAAAAAGTGGAGTTAAAGGCTTGTTGAACTCGATCGTCTGTACCTCTTTGTGGGATCATCCACACTCAGTTTGGATAGAACTGAAAAAATGATGGCATTCAGTCTTTCCACTTGTCCGTTAAAACGTGGTAGACCTGTCTTTGATTTCACCACCTTTATGCCTTCGTCTTCGCAGTACTGAAGATAGTCTTGCGCGGTAAAAGCTGAGCCTCCGTCCAATATAATGCAAGCTGGGTTACCAAATATATAACTTTGGTCTCGTATGACTTCGCTGGCAGTGGTTGAGGGTAAAGTCAACAGAATTTCGTAAAGGAGTCGATTACGGCGAGAATGTGCTTGTAATGTTTGCTTGTGGAGTCTAGTAGACCTAAGAAATCAATGTGATAGGTATGCAGCGGGAAATCCTCTTTGTGCAATGGATGTAACCAGCCCTCCTGTTTGCCACGCTTGCGGTTGGTCAAAATGCACGGAATGCAGCAGTCGATGTACTTCTTTTTTTTTCGTCAGTGTTTTCGATAAAATACTCGTTGCAAATCAGCGCCTTCGTTGTTTAAATAGCAAAGTGTCCTCGGTCATGTGCTCTACCAATGGTCTGCTTCTGCATGTCCTTCGGAACTACAATTAGTTCTAAGTCCTTGAAAAGTTTGTACAGGACACCGGATTTCAGAAAATAGTCTTCATATGATGAGTTAGAGTCTTCCAGGATTTTAATAATCGCTTTCAGGTGTTCATCTTTTTCTTGCGCTTGCCTGAAAACAAGCAATGGAGTCGTCAACGATCGTCATTATTGGGTACCTAGAAAGGGCATCAACGTGCTTCATACGTGAACTTGAACGGTGTTCAACTTTGTAGTCGTACTCTTGGAGCAAAAATACCGAGCGTGCAACCCTAGTGCACTGGATTTGCTTGTATAGCGTCTTTGCGAATGCATTACAATCTGTGATTATCTTAAATGGAATTCAAAGGAATTCCGTTGTTTGCCTACTCATGAAGTAGTCAGGGTGAAATTGGCCGTCATTTGGTGATTTTTGCAAAAGCACGGCGCCAAAACAATCGATTGATGCATAAGTATGTACCTCGGTGTCATACTTCGGGTTGTAAATTGCCAAAACAGGGGTGGAAGTCAAGTACTTTTTTAAGGATTCAATCGCATTCTCTTCTTCTGGGCCAATTACAAAATTTGCTTTATTTTCAGTCATATCAGTCAGGGATTTCGAAATAAGAGCATAGTTGGATATAAACTTTCTAAAGAATCCGGTAAGACCCAGAAAACTCTCTAGCTGCTTCAGATTCTGTGGAGTCTTGAATTTGGAAACGGCATTGGTCTTCTGAGGCGTCGGGGAAACTGTTTAATTCTCGATGATGTGGCCTAAAAACTGAATACGGGTCTGCAGGAAATGACATTTCTTTAGGTTGAGTTCGAGCCCATAGTTGCTGCAAGTTCCTATAACTTCTTTGAGATTCGATACAACCTCATTTTCGTCCTTTGCTGGTATAATGATATCGTCAACGTAAGGGAGAGCGATTCCTCTGCGAGTCAGCGTTCGGAAAATCGCATTGATGTGTCTCTGAAACACACCAGGTGAGTTTGACAAACCAAAAGGCATCTTAAGGAACTGGTACTGTCCGCTTTGGGTCAAGAATGAGGTGGACTTCTTGCTGGAATCGGCTACTGGCACATGAAAATAGCCATTCCTGGAGTCAATCGTGCTGAACATCATAGCTTCTTGTAAGCGATCAAGCTGGATGTCAATCAGGGGCCACGGAAAATGGTCTTTTATTATTACCTTGTTGATACGCCTGAAATCCACACAAAGTCGTTGGGAACCGTCGTTTTTCGTAGCAAGCACTACAGAGCTTGTAAATTCAGAGTCGGACTCTTCGATTACGCCGTTTGAGAGCCACTGCTCGATCTGATCGTCAATTACTTTCGTTTCAGCGAATGCAAATCTACGCGGGCGCGAAAAAATTGGGGTTTCGTCGTTTAAAATGATTTTCATTTCAATGTTTGTTGACTTCGATGGTTTAGGAATGTACATCGTTATTAGT